ACTGCTCTGGATGGCTGAGTGGACAATTTTTATTCAAGCGTGCCACTATGTAGACATTTGTACAATCTTGGAAATGGTGCATGTGGCACCATGCAACCTAATATGTGCCCACCATTAAAAGTGGGTGGATGCAGGGCAGACATACTACACACTTTTTCTGGCAGAGCTTTCTTCTCTTTTCTTCATTCAGTCCACAGGCTGCATACAAAAAAAAGAACATATATATACCCAACAAGGACCAGCAACATACTGGTACATCTCTGGACTTTGAATGGTTATACTAGGATGATGCCTACAGCTGCAGGCATCATCCTGGTATCGTTTTTGTCAGTCGGTGATCGGCTTTCATGTAACAGAAATCCTAGTGGCTAATTAGCTGGAGGATTGCTTTTAAAAGCAGAGGGAGACGATTCCCTCCTCCTCCGATGCCTTCCACAGCTTTCTTGGGAATCCCGTGCCATCGGAGGAACCTGAGAATGCAGCCAGTGTTTCTGCCAGCTGATCATAGAGCTGAATGGAGACCAGAATGGTGCCAATCATCTCTATAGTCTAAGAAATCAGAAGCTACGAGCATTTCATCACTTCAGTTTTGCAGTATATAAACAGCACCATTTGTAAATTGGGAAAGCATCTGATCACACCGATCTTGGTGAGATTAGATAATGTAAGGGCAGAGGAGATATCTAGAGTCTGATAGATTTCTCTATACATAGGATGAAGCCTTTAGGACCTTAAATGTGTGTGGTTGTTTTTTTTTCCATTGCAGACAGATTTAGAAAGCTCCTCTGGTTGCTATTAGGATGGACTACAACCTATTTTGACAATTGTTTGTGCTGTACAACCTCCCTCTTGTCATTCAATGGGGCTCAGAGAGACAATAGCACTAGAATCAGTGAGCACACATTATTACCACCTTTAACGTATGGGCCATTCAGTAGACAAGTTCACTAGAAACTGTGTGAATTAGAACAGTAGGTCAACCCAGTGCAAAAGATGCACATTGGGGCATATACTAGAGTCATTCAACAGGTAGCCTTTGCACCTGAGTTAGTCTTTAATTAAATATGTTCATGTTTTATTGGGGTGTTCTTTAAGCATGCATATAGAATAAACAACTATAATATTAATTATGTAATATCTAGCCGTTACCAACATAGTTATAGACAAGTAACTTTTAAGAACTGAGGTCTTGCAAAGGGTGTATATGTAAAACAAGTTTGACAAAAAAAAAAATAACTCCAGTTTTGCTTTATAAATAATGAACAATTCTCTACTTAAATCCCCCAGGTTGTTTCCTGCTCACATTAAATATCCAACAAAATATATGTCTGTACCATTATATTAAATTAATTGGTGGCATCTGACACTGTTCAAGCAAAGTTTCCACACCAATAAAGTAAGCCTTTCAAAACACAAATCACATTTTTAATTATTTGAAGAAAATTTTGCACTGTCAGTGAAGAGAAGGGGGGATGAAAAATTAAATCTCTGCTAGATGTAACAGTAATTAATTACATTTTGGAGGAAGGAATCTTTGAATAAGAATAACTTATGCCAAACAATGAACTGATTTATTAGAAAGAAAGAAAAAGTTGTTTTCATACAATATTAAAAATGTTAATTATTAATAATATACATAAATACAATTTTTTAGCTTGTAGAATTACATAGAGATCAGGAAACAATGCTAATCATGGAAATTACTATGGTGATTATTAATGAGAAAGACAAAGTTAGTCTTTCCAATATCCGTCATAACTAGAGTTCTAAAAATGGCAATAAAATGTATTTTTGTTGTTAAGGAATGCAACATGTAGCGGGGTGGCTTAAAAAAAAACCCTGTTCTGATCACTGTTTAGGTGTACAGTTTGTACCTTCTATGGTATACAGGGTCATGACATGGATACATACTGCTATGATATGGAAGAAGCAGGTTAATTTTTTTGAAAGAGCAGCCAGTCCATGTGCTTGAATTCTATTCAGAGGTCACTGATGCCTGTTGAAGGGTCTTTAGTGCTTAGGGTTATGGTGTTGATAGTTCCAACATATAATAAGGTAATTATTATATTTTGGAACTATCAACACCATAACCCAACAGCCACACAATGCGATCTGCTAGCTCTGAGCTAAGTGATTAGAAAAATTAACCCTGATTATTTTACCACACCTCTTCCAAGTTTGGAATATATTAAAATATGATATACACATTTTAAAGAGTTTATTCTTCCAGCCTTGAAAATCCATTACCTAAACCAGGCTAATATATAGAATAGATCTGGCTATAGTGAATAATGGCAGTACCTGTCTTCATGCTAGATGATTTTTGTTTCTGAGTCTGAATCTATCTTTATTTCATTATCTTGGATTGATTCTTAAGGCAGGAAAGCAGTCAAAGGGTAAAAAAAAAACACTGCTGGCCCAACACAAGTCTGATATACTTATAATAAAAAGTACTATATTTATTACAAATTGATGGGCTTTGATCTCTGGACCAAAGCTAATTATAATTTGTGTGCTATTGTACCATATGTGCATTCAATTATATATTTTTCATCATTTGGGATATAACACATTCATTATTTAGCAGATTTGTATAATTTAATATTTTTGGAGTTAAAGATGGCCTAACTGATCTTTAGATCATTTTAGAAGAGCTCAATGAGCAGCTGTAATGGAAATAAAGGAAGTGGCCACACCTCTCTTACCTTGGGTGCTTACCCATTAGATCATGAGGCTGCCTATTATGGTTGTTGGTCACCATGAAGATACAGTATCAGTTTAAATTGTTTATTAGACACTCATTATTTGGATTTAATAAAAAAGTATCAGTTTCAGTACTGCCAGTGATACTTTTTTATTTTCAATAACAGTTAAATCTTTATGACAAGCTTTTAGGAGTCAATCCCACTCTTCTAAGGTCCAAGCAGTACTATGTAACATTTAGAGGAAGGAGTTGACCCTTTAAGGGTTGTCCTGAAGTTTTGACCCTTAGTGCAAATAAAAAAAGCATCATGGACATTAATCATCTGTGTTGTTGGAAGTGCACTAATACAACTACAATCACGTTAAAATATAACAAGGCAAAACTTTTTTTTGTTTGTTTTGGATAGATTGGAGAGGGATTAGAACACTTATCTGGTTTTTATTGCTGTTTATGCCCCCATTAGGGAGATTCGCCCTCACTATTTGTCCTGTTTACCATTTTCATTGAAAGTGAAAGTAAAAGAAAATTTTTGGTTGTCCTTAGAAAAGTAATGGAAATGTTCCAAAGGGAACATTAGTTCTGGTGACCTAGGGGCTCCAAAGGATTTCCTTCCTTTGCAGGGATATCCTCTCACTTCCTGTTTTGGTTATGGAACAGGAAGTGAAGGTAAATCTCCCCAATGGGACACAGATGGCAAAAAAAAGTTGACAGGGGTTATAACCCTGCTTTACTTTATCCAAAATGAAAAAAAAAGTTTTGTCTATAGTTCTACTTTAAAGTGGAACTATGGAACTAAAGATACCTCCTCTTTAACAGTCCAGGTCACTTACTAGAGCAGACCCGGTTGCAGTTGTTGTGGGCCTGTCTATTGGCAGGAGCGGGATGACATAAATCCAGTATATGCACAGGAGTCAGTCATCCCTGAACAGATGGACCTGATGTGTAAGCTGAGCTGCACATGCATGTCTCTTCTGCAATAATAGTCTGCCTGCTTGCAGTCTTTTGTTAAATGCCTTCTATTCCGCTTTAAGTTTTAATAAAATTGTTTATGCTGTATATCATGTAGAGTAGCTCATTATTCTATTTATTATCTTATTTTTGTGATATCCTAATTTTGTACACTAGACAGCAGAATACTTATTAGCATGACAGGTATGCATTTCCTGGCAAATTTGAGACTGACTCCAAATTAATAAAATACATCATATTTTGGTTATAGCATCATATTTCACTCATAAAGATATTGCATGACTATCCATACATGTATTCATTAAAGTGACTGCATCACAGATGAATTCTGCATTATTTACTGCATGATGGCACCCTGCAAAATGAAGCTGAAACTCGTGTAGATTATAAAAGGAGATTTAACAACTTCAGACTTCTCCACCATTTATAATTGATAGAGGCTGTAAATGCTCTTGTCGTGTACCAGAGTTGAAGCATTTGTTAGAATCTGCACAAAGTCTCATCTATTTGAGATTCATGTTAAAGCTGTAGATGAAGCCATTTGTTATCCACCCATTTGCCCTGAGCAGGTGTTACTACTGACACCTCAGATCTTTAGGAGGGGACTATTGGGACATTGATGAATGCATACTTTAATCTCTTACGCAGTAGGTAACCTTCTATTGATTGACAACAACTACTTAAATGATTTTATTCTTCGTAAACACACTGAAATCAAATTATTTATCGAACTGATTACTAAGTGAGTGATGTCAGTTAAAACATCACAAATCTATCAAATGGCTGGGAGACAAATGCATGGCAAAGCTCAAAGCTTATCTAAACCCAAAAACAAAAATGTTTACCTGTCCTTATATGAATTGGCTGCATTATGTTGTTCCCTTTATTTTCACCTAGTAATCCTGTGAACAACACACTTCCAGTCCCTTAATGTCTACATGTTCTCTCCCACTGTATCTATGGGGGCAGCCATGGTTGTCACATCAGGTGGATTTCAAACATCTCTGCCTTTGTTCATCTCCATTACATTGTGGATTGATGAGACTAGTAGTTTACACAATAAAGATTAGGATGTTTTTGCTTTCTACTAATGTCACATGAAGTGGCAAAGACTGCATTTCCAGAGCAACATGCGTTTTCTTGTACTTGCTGAAAATATTCTTATCCCAACAAGTGAAAACTAATGGAGCCACAACTACATACAAGGAAAGGTAAGCTAAAATATATTCAATTGTTCTTTTTATATTCAGATAAGCTTTGATGTTTGTTGGTAGTATCTGGAAACATATTCAGCAATGGCCCAGGACAGCAGGGAGCACATGTTGCTTGCTTGACCAGACCTGTCAATGTGTCCATAGAGCCTTATCTGCTTCTAAATCCAAATGCACACATCATGATGTCCTCAACAGGGGCGGACTGACCATTCAAACACTCGGGCACTGCCCGAGGGCCCGGGGTCAGTAGGGGGCCCCATGAGATGCCCCTGGTACCTTTCATTGGCTTTTTCATAGGCTTTTTTGGGTGTTGGTGAGGACACAGGGGCCCCATGATCCCCTATTGCCCAGGGGCCCCATGAGTTGTCAGTCTGCCCCTGGTTCTCAGATATGTGCTGACTCATAGCATTAACATCCTTCAAACTAATGTGAGCGTGGGAGTAATTATAGTCAATAGAGGGGGTGCAGCCAAGACACACATTTTAAAGGAAACCTGTGCTGTGAGAAGTACAATCCAATGTCATGGCTGACTTAGTTTTTTAAAGGAAAGAGTTTTATATTTTCTATAGTATTACTTACAGACTGTTGGATATGTCAGCATAATACGTTATAATCCCAAATACTGTTAGAAAGGACAATACTACTATAAGTACTATGGAAAATAAGCAAAAAATATATGTAAGCATACCTGTAAAGAACTCAGAAAATTATTCATGCCTTAGGCAACTATTAATAATAACATCATAAGCATTTGTCTTATTCATGGACATTTCTGAAGGACAAAGCTAATCCTAAATATGTATGATATTTTAATTGATAAAAGCGGCTAATATGTAATTATTTTCTTCACTGCAATCAGAAAAACCAAGTTGGATATCCGCAGGATCATCACAGAGGCATAAATTTGTGGCAACATGTTGGGTAAGTCACAATAATTTTGCTCTTAATTATGTGAAGTGATGACGCTAAGAAAATGCCTTCTCTAATTTGCATGATTTTTTTCCTGTCTGATTCCTTTAAACATATTGTTCATCCCCCGTTCTGCTAGTCATCTATGGATGTTCATATAAAAGAATGCATTCAAATATCTTAGATGTTAAAGAAAATGTCTAGACATCGATTAGTTTACCCTTGAAGCTTCATCTACAGTTTGTCTTTCTTCAGCTCTAACTGGGAAATAAATAAGGCATATGTTATTGAAGAGAAAATGACTTAGAATTCATAGAAAAGTATGAAAGATGCCAAAAAGTAAAGGAATTGTGTATCAGGAAAAAGATGCTCATTTTCTTCATCCTCTAGTTGCCATGCAACGTGGCCTTTCAGAGTCAAAATGGTGGATAAAGTGGCTAAGCTATAACAATAAAATTCTGGCTAAGGCATTGGAATATGAATAAATCATTTTACACTGAGATGGGCTCACTGACTGTAAAGGTGTTTGAAAGATTCAATGAAGTTTCCAGTGTCTCTCAAATATTTTTAAACCTTTTTATTTAATTGCACCAAAATCTCAAAACTGTATTATGCAGGCCTGAATTGGAAATATGGAAACTTTGCAAAAGCCAAGGTGGCAATTTATGAGCTGGTATGGGCTTCTTAACACTTAATACAGTTCTCAGCAAGTGCAACCACTTACAACAAGATTTTGAATACAAACAAGATCTAAATGTTCAAGGCAATCTAAGGACAACCGTTTTGATTGTTTAATATAGTAGAATACAAAAATGTCTGAACGTTTCTTTTGTATGGTAACCATCAAGGTTCCTTTGCACTAATGCTTTGACTAGCATATGGCAATAGTGCCCAGTCACTTTCCAAGTCAGTTAAGACATCCCTCCAAAGATGCTGTCCTGTTGCTGTTTGTATAGCACAATTTGAAACTGCAGCATGCTGTCAATAGCATCAGTGTGTATAATTAAAAATATTTTTTCCATGTACATGAATGTACATTAAAGTGAACTTCTGTTTTTGAGGCAAAAAAAGCAGAGCAAAGGAAACAGGATGACTTTAACAACCACCACGGGCACCACCTGCCTGGGAGTTTGCTAAGCGTGGGTTTAGGAATGTGAGTTAGGGACCTTAAATTGTACGCCTCTTGAGGGTTAGGGATGATATGAATGTTCAATATACAGTTGTGACCAAAATTTATTCAACCCCCAATGCTGTAAAGGGGTTAGGGACTATAGTGTTACATTTTGGAATTGTATTCAGAATCAAAATCCTACAAGGACGTTGTAACTAACCAAATGCAACTAAAATGACATCAATTGTTTATGTAATACAGTAGTAAATGGTTCTTATGTGGTTTCTTCATTGCCAAATTATTCAACCCTTAAAGACTACCACTCTGAAGAACAGAGGTTCATACAGGTGCTTTCCATTCAGGTATTGAAACACCTGTGGATGTCACCGAGCAGCAATCAAGCACATAATAAAGCACTGAATTAGGCAGCTTTAAAATGACTGTGGATACTCAGCTCTTCTAGACATTTACTGGTGTGGTTACAAACACTGGTGAAGGCAAGAGAATGGTCCAGGAAGACAATGAGAAGAGGTGATTTCTCTTCACAGGAAGGGCAATGCTTGTAAAGATTGCAAAGATGTTAAACATACCAAGAGACACTTAGGAAGCATCATTCGCAATTCACTGTTGAAACGCTACCTGGTCGTGGCAGAAAGAAGATGCTGACTTCGAATGCTGTGCGCTACCTGAAGCGTTCAGAGTGGAGAGAGATGTCTGTGACTGTTGAGGAATGATAAAAGATTTGTCAGATGTGGGTAGCAGAAGTTTCAGCCCAGACAATAAGACGCACACTGCGTAATGAAGGCCTCCGTGCCAGAACTCCCAGGCGTACCCCCCCTTGCTGTCTCCAAAGAAATAAGAAGAGTCGACTGCAGTATGCCAAAAGCCATGTGGACAAACCACAAAAGTTGTGGGAATTAGTGTTCTGTGGAGATTGTAAATTAGAAACTGTTTGGGCCCATGGATCAACGCTATGTTTGGAGGAGGAAGAACAAGGCCTTGATGTTGCTATAGTGAAGCATGGTGTGTAGGGTCAATCATTGCTTTGGGAATGTTTTTTGCTTATGCTCGGTACATGGGAAGCTTCAGCAGTGTGCAAGGTAACCATGAATTCTCTTCAGTGACAGGAGATATTGGATGGAAACGTGGCATCCGTCACACACCTGAGGCTTGGGAGACGTTGGGACCTTTCAACAGGACAATGGATCCCAAGCATACCTCCAAGTACCACTAGAGCATTGGTTGCAGAGAGAAAGGCTGGAACATTTTGGAGTGGCCATCGCAGTCACCAGACTTAAATCCGATTGAGAACCTCTGGTGGGACTTAAAGAAACCGCAGTTGCAGTGCGCAAGCCTAAGAATGTGACTGAACTGGAGGCCTTTGCCCATGAAGAATGGGCGAAGATACCCGTAGAGCTGCAAAGAACTTGTGTCAAGCTAAAAGCTGTTATAACTGTAAAAGGATGCTGTACTTAAGTACTAAGATTGAATGTCACTTGGGATAATGCTGTGAGCACAGAAAAGACATTTGTGGTTATTTCATTATAACTGTTATGTATTTGTCTGACCTACAAGTGCCTTCTTTAATGTAAATGTATAGCAGATGACTGAATGATCAAAAGCAATGTCAAATTGGCCAAAACACTCAATTTCAGTGGGGGTAATATTTTTGGTCACAACTGTATAGTGTGTAAATGTATAAGTACCTGTAATAAATAAATAAATAAACGTAGCCCTCTGTATACTTACCACAACTATGGACCCCCCCAATGTGCCGTACAGTAAGAGCAATAGGAAAGTCTATGTAAGCTATGAGCTGCCAGAGCAGTTTACACATGGCCATGGACACCCTATGTGACAGTGCTGATTGACTAGTGCTGTCTAATAGAGTGAATCACATGTTCATTCATACCCACAAGTACCATGTACTTCTTTTGGCTCCCAATTCTTAGTTGTGCTAGGGAGAGCGAGTAAAAAATAAGTGATGGAAAGGTGGGGCCTTAAACAGAACGTGTTGCTTTGCGTAAGCATGGGTATACTTTAAAGTCTTCAGACCATAGGCAGAGGTATTACTGTCATGAGGCAAGAAAGATTTCTATGGAAAATCCAAAGTTATTTTATATTTCTTTCAGTCATCAATAGACACCTAAAATACAGCCATATTTTGTGAATATTAAGGTGGATACTTTGGCTTTTTACTGGGAGGAAGCTAAAGCTAAATTGCTTGTCAACATCTCAGGTAGTGATTACTTGTGTGGTGTCCCGAACATTAAACATACTGACAGATTAGACATTTAACTGATGACAATGGTTGTGCAGCAGATTGCCGGGCAACATAGGTTTAATCCCTTCAATGTCTCGATGGTCTGTGACTAAAGATTCCAGAGCATCACAACCCTGACCTGCTAGGAGCAGATAGATGGATAATAAATTACATGCTAAGCAGTCTTAACAAGAATGCCACAGATGTCAGACTTTTCTGGTCACCTCGGAAAAGACTATCAGTTGAACAGTGTAACAGACTAATATATACCAAAAGAGAAAAAGAACACATTCATCTATGCATTACAGTGGCTAAATGGTTAGCACTTCCACCTGGCAGTACTAGGGTGGTTGGTTTGAATCCCAACCACGGCACCACCTGCCTGGAGTTTGCATGTTCTCCCTGTGCCTGCGTGGGTTTCCTCCCACACTCCAAAGACATGCTGGTAGGTTAGTTGGATCCTGTCTAAATTGACCATAGTATGTGTATGTATGAATGTTAGCTAGGGACCTTAGATTGTATGCCCCTTGAGGGTTAGGGACTGTTGTGAATGTACAATATATATATGTAAAGTGCTGCGTAAATTGACAGTGCTATATAAGTACCTGAAATAAATAAATAAAATATATGAGAATTACAACTTTGACTTTGATGTACAGAATCATGTAAAATAATCGCCCTGTATAAACTGCCACTGCTTCAAATGTACAGGACATATACTCAGCCTTTGGTTGAAAAAATGTCTCCACGCTATGGCACCTTAGTTTAATGTATTATCATTCTGCAGCTGTACATGTTTGTCAAATTATCATTTTTAATACCAAAATATAGTCATCCAGAAATAAACAAATAGTGTATCAAAATTAAAAGGGAGTTCCAGCTCAAAAAATAATAAATAAAAGTCAGCAGCTACAAAACTGTAGCTGCTGACTTTTAAAATACAGAACTTACCTGTCCCTCGGTCCAGCAGTGTCCTCACCACTGCTTGTTTCA